AAGGGGGGGGGGGGGGGGGGGGGGGGGGATCCATTCTTGCTGGTGGCGTCGTTTGTTTGGCCGCCCGTTCTCGCGAAACGGCAACATCGAACGCTCAACGGCTTTCCGCGTCAAACCTGCGAACATCTTCACAGCCTGGGGTGAGTGCGCGTCGTACTTTCTTTTCTCTAATAGCCGAGCGACTTGCTGCGGAAGGCTGCATTCACAGCAGGATGCGCTTGGGAAGCCCACAGGTGAAATGAATGGCGTTCACACGGGTGTCCAAACCGTCCCGCAAGATCAGATGTGTGGATACGCAGCACTCATTCCGGGAAAAGCGTAGATACGCGCCCGGAAAAAAGGAAACGAAACGGAGCACGGCGTCAATAATTTCACTTTCGAGGGCGACGGTCGACGGAGCGACGGCGGCGCGATCGTCGAACGCGGATGCCCAAGGCCGCGCGACCGACCGAATCAACCCAACCTAACCCGACCCAACCCTCCCTGTATTGCACCGTGTGCTCAACCTCGCGCGTTCTCTCTTCCGTGTTGGCTATGTACGGATTTGTACAAATGTACTTTGTACTACGCATACTGCTGTACCTTGGTGGAAGAAAACTTGTACTCGTACTCAGCGGCGAGCTCGATCCCGAACATCTCCGCTGTGTTCTCTCTCAGCTGGTGATGTCGCGAGGTGAATGGGCGGGGCGGCGAGCGGGAAGCGTGGGGGGACGGAGAACCGGGACGGGGAGGCGGCGGAAATAGTGAGTCCGGTAAGCCGTTTCAGTCGGGAATCCATAGGGAATTGTACGGCAGGTTTGCGATTCACGTATGCGAGAATCCGCGGCACACGTCCTGAAATCCCGGGCGGGGTCGCTGAGCTTGTAGGAACGAGGCGAGGCATTCGATGGAGACCGGGACACGAGAGGACGCGACAATGTCATTGAGGCAGCGGTAGGCAGGCGGGGGCTCTTGTCGCGAACGGGTACTGTTTCGCAAAACCCGTTGTGTGTAATCCAGGTGACAGTCATTCACCGACGAGATCTGCTTCTGTCCGCGGGTGTATTCCTGGAATGTGACGCTGCCTCGAGCTCATCGTTGGTAACTTCACCATGCACCGAACTCTGTTTAATTGCGCATCCCTGTGTATCTGTGGGCACTTCCACGGCATGTAGACATGTAGACCACTGCTGTAGACCGACTCTTGTCGGTGCCTATGGGGGGAAAGTGCAAGTGCACTGGGCATGTGGGCGAAAATATTATATGACACCCATCCTTTCCAACTCCAGTGACGAATTGCGAAGTACTAGCTCTATGCAGCCACAATCTAACCACAAAGGACACCAACAGCCGGTTCCACAGCAGTCCAACACCCCAGACTGTATGTACTGTACGCACAGCATTATCTGTATCTCGATCTCCAAAATCTACAGCGGCGGCGAAAACTTACCACAACCGTGAGGGTGTGTTCGGCAGAGACGTCGAAGCGGAGTTCCGTCTCAGCCTGTAGCACCCATGTTCGAGTCTCCACCTTCGCTGCTGCAGAGGCCATTCTGCTCCCTGTGCTGTATGAGTTTCACACACCGCGGCACACGACGTGATCTGTACAATACTCTGCCTCTCGCGCGCTCTCTTGGCCCGCCGACAAGCTTGCCGCCGACCGGGTTTGCAGATGGTACTGGTGTGGGGGTAGCGTCTGCCGGGGGGCACCGCGACTCGTTGACAGTCTCGTCTACAGTCCAGAGAGCGGGTACACGCGCACACGCGTACCCCCACGCATACACGTACGCGCGCACACGCACACATGACACCCGTGCTTTAGCTGACCAGCAGTGCTGATTCAAAAGGGAATGAGATCATGCCGCCTTCACGCACACAGAGGAAGCGGGATACAAGCTGTCGACCATTCAGGCGCGGTGTGCGTCAGGCGAATCCAGCGAAACAAACAGCACCGGCGACGAAGACGCCTGCTGTTAGAGGCGCTCCTGCGTTCTTCAACATGCCCGTGGTAGCTCTGTCGCTGTATGTTCTGCTCCTGGTCGCATGCTGCGGCTCCGGCTTCGTCATCGTCGCCCCTTCCACCAGATCTACTTTGCCGCTGCCGTCGGCGTGGAGACGGCGGGGAGGGCGTTTCGGCTGCGAGGGCACGTTTCCACAACAACACCAACGGCAACCGCAGCAGCAGCAGCAGCAGCAGCAGCGTCCCGCTGCAGCGCGCTTAGCTAGCAGGAGCAACGGTTTTCGTGCCCCTCAGACGAGGAACCATGCGACACAAGACGAAATGATGGAAGGGCTGGAGACTGCTGCTATGCCAGAAACCGAGGTACGAGGGAACTACATGTACATACGGTATCTTGTGGTATAGCAGCGATGGCGTCTGCTGTTGCGCTTTCTTCAAGACAAGGGTACACCGCCCCAGGGTCTTATTGTATCTTATGCCTACGTGCTTGCGCAATGTTTGTCCTCCGACCTTCCGAGGTACAGAAGGGTCATCTACTCCAGGCAGGAATTAATGGCTTCACGCCTGGCTTTGGATCCACCTTTCTCTGTTTCTCCGACGGAAAATCCATGATCTCTGTCTGTCTGTCTGTCCGCCTCTAACCTGGTCGAGCAAGCTGCTGACGAGCTTCCTTTTGAAGGCAGAAAGGTAAAATCTGTTTTGCACTCATTGTCTCGACTCTTGCGGAGCGGAAAACTCGAGGCCGGGGTAGGACGGCGGGGACAACGTACACGGAGGTTCGTGTACTATCCACGTGCTACATGCATCTTAACCTTGCTCTGCCTCCGTCCCTTTTTTTTTTGGTCCGCCGTCCCTCCCGTCCGTCTTTCGCTCTGCTGCAGGTTCCAGTGGAGATGTTGCCTCGCGAACCGCCGGAGCGGCGTCCCTTCGACCTCGATGCCGCCGTGTTCCTTGCCGACTTCGCGTTCGAGGCCTACAGGGTAATCTAGTTACATTATCTTATCGACACGAGACCTAAATGCGAAATCCTTCCCTTCAAATTATGCATGTACGTACTCCGTCGTACTTGGCAACAAACAACCCAAATACAGATGCTCCGAAGTACACAGACGTCGAGAACCACTGCGTTTAGCACCTTTTCAAGAACACCAACAACAATCACACCCAAGTCAGTTTTTTTTTATGCATACATCACTCTTTGTGTTTTGCTGTTGTATTCTATTCTACTGTACTAAAAAACACAGGAGCCAGGAAAGGTGGCTTGGGAAGTGCCCGGGCCCAGCAGCGTTCGCTTCAAGGAGGGCGCGTTCGTGTCCAAAGTCTTCCCGGGGCTTCTGACGGTGTCCTTGCTTGCCGCGGAGGGGCTTCCCGTCGTTCTCGTACGTTCCTCACGGCACTGCATTGCGTAAACACGCCACCGGTGTGTCTTCCCAATGCCGTCCTTTGGATACTCTGCCTTAAACCGTAGCGGCTATGCATACCATACGTTCTTGAGCCCCCCACAAGGTAGCATTCGAATAGTTTCGAATCCGTGGTGAAGGAATCTCGAATTTTCAGAGAACGGGGGAGAAGGGAGAACACGCCCCAACAAGAACCATAGGAGTAACGACACTTCAATACAGCAGCAACAGCGAGTAACAGTAGCAACGGCGACGGTAGCAGTCACGTTCACAACAGCAGCACCGCCGTTTTTTGTTCGTTGGAAGCAGGAGCCCGTCGGTGGCGACGCCGGCAAGCGAGAGCGGGAGATCAACCCGTCCGTATCCATGGTCCTCGCTGATGAGGACATGAGGAGCGGGACCTTGGTGAGCTATCCAGACAGACAGGCAGACAGGCAGACAGAGAGTGCGAGTCGACCAATCCCCCCGTATACTCGCTGTTTTCTTGTTCCTCTTGGTTTGCAATTTGACACACGTTCTCGGTCGAGATGGGGGTCTCCTCGTGTCCATCCCCATCGAAGAAGACCCGGCCGGGAGGGAGGGTCAGTTTCGGGTCTCTCGCGGGACAGGTAGGAGCACCGTCACTATTTGTTTTTTGAGCGGGACGAACGGTAGTGCTCTTTTCGCCTTTCGAGATAGGCGGAGAGGGGCAGGCGCCCATCGCCCAGTCTTGCTCAAAGAGAGAAAATCATCGCTGTTTTTCTGGTGGAAAAATCTGTTGTCGGATGGTGTCTCAAGCTGCCAGGCGTTCTCGCGGCGTGTGTGTGGTGCGATCTTCGTGTTGTGGTCCAGTTCACGGTAGTAATGCCAACAGCGCGGAGAGTTGGACACAGTAGTCTGTGGTTCGTCTTTTGTTTGGTCGTTGTGTTGTCAATGTCTTGCCGGTGTCGCTTTGTTGTACTTACCTCGTTTTTTATTGATGTCTTATTCTTTTTGTTGTCTCGCCTCGTCCGCTGTAGTTGTTGGTTCTTCCCGTCCTTTCCTGTTTTCCTTTTTTTCCTTTTCCCCGTTTTTTTGTTTTTATTTCGGATGCTTGCGTCCGATATTCCTGCCCCCTTCCTGTCGTTCCTCGGCCGCTCAAAAACTCCGAAAAATACATAATAACACTCCACGTTTTTTTTTCCCCTTCAGACGTCCGTCAAGCGACCACTCCCCGGGGGTCGATGTTGGGGCGAGCTATTCTCGATGCACGTGCACGATCCGGAAACGAGCGTGCTCGAGGTGGGCCTGTGGGACAAGGGCGAGGAGGGAGCCATCCCCTTGTCCGTGACGGGCGTCTTCCGGGGGGACGGCGGAAAGCAGCTGGTGGGCACTGCCAGGGTACCGCTTTGCAAGGTACACGTTGGAGTTTTTTCTTCTTTTACTTGGTCAGAGATGGTGTACGACCCAGATCTGACGTTTGCTTGTTGTTGTGCTTTTGTTCTGGCGTGGTGGCGGGTGTCGTGAAGTCAGGGAAAGGGGAAGATGGTCGATGCCACCAGGAGATGGTTTTCCGAGGCAAGCGGCCTGTTCATTGCCTTTGTGCTTTTGTCGGTAGTCGTCGCAGCAAAGCGGGAGTTCGTCCTGGTATTTTGCTCTTCATGCCCTTCCCGCGTATCTCGAACGATCACTATGCAAGAGTGCTTCTGAGAGTTTCATCGTTTTCCTTGGGAGTAGAGGGGGCTGACTGGGGCCAGCAGGGGGACGGGTCGGAATAGCATCGCCGCGGGGTGTACGCACCGCTCGCGAAGCACGGTGTAACTGCCGTTACGCTCGAGAAACCGACCTAAGCACTCTCCGGGATGTCCTCCTCTTGCTTTCACGTTTTTTTGCAGACACACAAAAGAGTTGACGGAGAATGAAGAGGAGCTGAAAGGGTGTGGTTTTGATGCGCAATTCCTTCGCGCTTCCCCTTCTGTCTACCTTCGTCGTGCTATCTGTTCCATCTCTCCCCCCTCCTCTCTAGGTCCTGAAGGGCATGTCTAAGGGCAGAGACGACGCTTGGACCGGGTGGGTAGAAATAGACCCGATCGCTCTGCCGGACGACGAAGACGAGGAGGATGTCATAAAAACTAATGCTGACGCTGATCGTGTTGGCGGCAGCGATCGTCCATTGGCAGCGGCGCGGCTACACCTGGACATCCGTTTCGCTCCGATGGAGAGGTGGGGGGGTGGGGCAGGAGGGGGCAACGCGGAGGGGAATAGACCTCGGGCAGGAGGGATCAACATGGGGGGGAATAGCCCTCTGTGCCCTGTGTTTGCGGGGCGTTCGCCACCTTGGACACGCCATTCTTGCAGTATTCTCCCTATATGTTTGTCAAAGTACATCCGCGTAACTGCCATCAAGACGCAACATGTACTTTACCCGGGCTGTGTTTCCCTCGTCGCCCTTTCTGGAACCGTCACCTGATTGAAACACCGTCAAAATTACGATCACGACGACGACGGCGACGACATCAGGTACCAGGGAGACGACCTCCCGACGGCCCCAAGAGCATCCGAGGAGGACGTTGGGGGCGTCGGAACTCTGGCCGGGTCGATGCGCGCGCGATGGCAGAACCTCGTGGGTCAGGTGCGCCGTCGCTGTTTCTCTTGGTGTCGTGATGGTCGTCGTCGTCGTCTTTCGGCCAGTTCCTCCCATGAAATGCCCCGAGCCTGCTTGACACTGTGGGTGTACATTGTCTGGACGAGCATCACACACGAACTCGTGCCGCAGATGACAGTTCCCCGTCTTCCCTGCGCTGTGCGGGGTGCCACGATCGCTTGTTTTGTCTCCGTTTCGTGCTGTTGGTTGAAGGGCTATCCTGTTCCTGCCTTCTCTTTTTCTTGCTTATTTGGAAAGGAGGGATGGCTCTGTTTTGCAGCGGTGGCCTCGCTCGCCCCTTTCAGCAACCTGCCCCCCCTCACCGGGAGTTGTGTTTTACAGCTAAACACCAACCACAAGCTCTTTCAGAATAGACTCAACCCGAGCTCGCCCGTCATGGGAGCTCGCCCGTCATGGGGCGTACCGTACTCCTGCTGATTTTCCATGTTGGTTTCACCAGGATGATACCGCGGCCGCCGGCGGCAGCGAGGACACTGCCGCTGCCGCCGCCGCCGTCGCCGCGGATGGCGAGGGAGTGGAGGTGTACGCCCCCGGGCTCTCGGCCAACCGGACCTTCCTGTACAAGGAGGACGAGGAGGGTGGCGGTGTCATTGCCGGCAGAATGGACGGCGGCAACAGCGGTGGCCCCGGCGGCGGCGTCGGCGACAACTTGAGCTCCGCAAGAAGAAGCGAGGGCAGCAGCGCCAGCGGCGGTAGTGGCCGAAGCAGCGGTCCCACCGAGGGCGAGGGCGGAGGATTCTGGAAGTGGGGGGGGGAGGCGGGCGGGGATAAGGCCAAACGCGGCGGCGGCGGCGGCGGCGGCGGTAGCGAGGGCAAGGCTAAGGTCAAGAGGAAGCGCAAGCCGGTGGTGCTTAGGGAGGACGGCATGCCCGACTGGAGCGTGCTGACGAACCGGGTGGACGGGCTTGCGGAGCAGGCGGGGTCCTTCGAGTTCATGTGCTTCATCGACAACCACGACACCGACACGCAGGCAAGTCTAGGCCGAGGTTCACGTGTGTTTTTTGAGGTGGTCGTGTGAGGGTCGTGGTTTTCGTTTTTGTGTGGTGTGTTGCTGCTGGTGCTCGGTGGAGTGGCTGGGAGCCATTGGTGTTTTTTATACGTCGGGTGTCGTCGTCGATCATCTTAACTTCAACGGGCGGTAACAAAGAAAGAGCCACACAAGGTATTGCAGCAATCAGTCACAAGAGAATTGAGCAAGAAACAAGATTGCCATTCCAACTGCTACGGCACTTAGGTTGGCTGCCCCCCCCGCTCCACAAGCATCACCACCAACGTGCGCCTCCCATGGCCTTGTCTCTGCCGACTTTTTCGTTCTTGCTCCTTGGCTTGAGTGTTTGGCTAGCTTGCTTGGCTAGCTTGCTTGGCGCTATTTTTGACCGTTGCTTCTTTTTGCACACAACGCCAGGTCGGGGTCTGGCGCGACGAGGCCAAGAAGCGTCTGGTCGTCTCCTTCCGAGGCACGGCGCAGCTCGAGGACGTGATTACGGACGTCAACTTTCTGCTGGGAGGAGGAGGAGGAGGAGGAGGAGG